CGCGCGCGTGAGTGACAAAGAAGAAGCCGTGCTGAATTGGTGTAACAAAAGGGCTGAAGTTCACACACGGCGATGAATAAAATAATTTATATTTGAGTGAATCAATCATTCTCAGACGAGTTATCGCACAATTGCAGCCACTCTGGCGGTGAAGGAACAATGCCCGAGCGAAGGGTGCGCCCAACCCCTTTGGCAGAAGGGAAGAGAGTTTTCCATCCACCAGCCAAGGAATGTCAGTTGTGCGCGCTCGACATAATGAAATTGGAAGTCATCTTGAGTTTGTTTGCCATCCTCATTTTATATTTATTTTAATTTCAAGGCAAAGACTGGCCACAAGAACCCTCAGCATAAGTGCGGCCGCAGATCAATTCACCGCGCTGTTGGATGTTGATTTTCCCAGGCAAATGAAACTTCCGATGAAAGTAAATATAACTGCCAAGGAGATGTTTTCCGTAAAAATAATACCAAAAGCTGTCGGAATCTCAAGAACACCCACTCAAATGGGGGGAGAAGGCGAAACTATATCATTTCAGGCACTGTAATTATGATGTATTAGTGAAAATCGTGTTGTGGAAAATGTACAACGTTCCCATAATCTCCACACATGAGCTCAGCATCAACCATGGAAACGCTGAGAAACATTGAGAAACCCTTGAGAGCCTTGAGAGATTCGGAGTGAAATTAGAAAGTACTAAAGTACTGTAAATAATGGAGTTAACCTGCTATGAAGCCGCCTGATATACTCACCTTCCATATCGTGTTATGGCGCCTCTTGTGTGGCATCAACACAACTTTCCTCTTCTTCCCGCTGGAATCTCTGCGCCAAAATGAGGGTTTCTGTCATGTTTCTGTGCTCTCACGCTAAGAAATGGGCGCAAAGTTTTCCCACATTCGCGTGAATCGCGAGGGTTTTTCCATCCACACCAGAAAGAAGACTGTGTGCATCAAGGGGGAGATATTATGGGCAGAAGTCGTGTTCAGCACAGTAGAAGTAGTAATAATTAGAGAAAATAATTGTTTTTAACATTTTTCTAGGTTATGTTACCACTAAATAACCTCCAAAATCATTTATTCTGGCACCAAAACTGATATAATTTGCTTTTACTGGCACAAAAATAATGAAAATTGATAAAAGATCACAAAATTTTTATGTGAAACTGTGTTAATTATGCTGAAATTGATCATAACCTCAAAAAATTGTCCATTTTAAGAGTTGTTTGATTAATTTTCTTCTATAAATTGCAAATTTCAGATACTTCCTTGAAAAAAATTACAATAAAGTTTGTTTCTAGGATTCTTTTTGATATTTCAAAATAACTTTGAGGTTATGTTCCAAAATGCATTCAAAACAGCGAGTGAAATTTGAATCTCATCAAAATATCAGCTGGAAATTTGAATAATTTCCTTAATTTCTGTTTCTCTGTAAGTTTTCTGGGTCTTTTAAGCTCAAAGATTCCAAAATTTGAGGTTATGATGCTTAAAGCGGTTGGAAAAATCTATAAAGTCCCGAAAAAAGAAGAAGAAAATAAGGCAAACGAATGTTTTAAGCACAGCCAAAGTTCTGGAAGTGTTTGTGATTCTTCACAGAAATTGTTGTGTTCACAGTTTAGCCGTATTATTTCCCCCTTGATGTGCAATGCAATTATATTTGACAAGGGTGCGTTTTTTTTATCGTCTCTTTTCGCCATGGAGAAATGATACGCGCGGCTTTTGCAGTATAATTCAGCTATTTGTGTGCAATTTGCGTGAAAAAATTGCACACAATGCCGCGTGGAATAAATTTGGGGCTGTCGCGAGGGATGTGGAAACCCCTTGTGTACACTTTGTCAGGCAGATGACGAGAAATTGTATCATTTCGCCTTGAGACGCGCTGTGGGAGTATCTGTAATATTTGGGGGATTTGATTAAAACTTTTTGCATTTTTAGCCATATTTACGCAAAGTTGAGAAACTTTTATGGTTGCTGTTCGCCATGAGATTCCCTCCTTGTTGTGCATTATGTCAAGTATTAGTTGGATGATGATAATTCTGTGAATTTACACTGGGGAGGGATCACAGCGCCCCAAACTCCGGGGGTGAAAATTTCCATGGGAATCTCTTTGCTTCGCAATGGCACTATTTCCACGAACACACGCGAGTCGTGTGGAATTTTCTCTCTCTCTTCCTCATTTTCCACCCCCACGTGCGGAATCTGCCTCCGTTTTTTTTCCGCTGCCATGTGAATTTGGCGCACAAAAATTTAGCTACTTATACACTTGGGGGCATTCCATACAATTCCGCGTTACTTGGCGCGGAATATGGCAAAGTTTGGGGGCGACTCCCCAATTGAATCCCCCGAAGCTGCGGCTGTGGGCGCGCTTCTGCGTTCGGTGGGAGTGGAAAGGAAAAGGATCAAATTTATTCGCACGAGAGAATTCCGCGGGGTTTTGCTATGAATTTGTGAATTATTGAAATTGTCACGTTGCAACAAATCTCACAGAGATTTTCGTTTTGGGTTTTCTGATGTCTTTTTCTCGCACACTCAAGGCACACACAGAGCGCGAAAAACTGTCAATCCCAACCCAGATTCAAAGCCATAGTTTATCAGCCCAGACCGTGGCAAATCCAATGACTCTCAATCACGCCATGTTGTGCATATCACTCACAAAATCCACCCCGAAATATTGCGGCACGTGAAAGCTCGTGCGCTCGCCTTAATTGGATGGGTTAATTACTTTTCTCTGTCGCATCTAATGCAGAATTGATGCACACAGGCATCGCCTGCATCTCCACTCCCTGTTTTCGGGGGCGAATGTGTCACGAAATGCTGTGAGCATACTTCTGTGAATCACTTTGCGCTCCTCTCTTGAAAATGTTGATTTGCCGAGTGACATGAACCCGAAAGCTCCTCTCGTTCAGCCCCTTCAGCTCATAAATAGAAGCTCGTTAGGCAAAATATGATAAGCTCTCCGTTGCATCTGTACATATATGAATTGCCACATGATTAACATGAAAAGGGTCACTCATTCACAGTCTTGAAAGCACGTCGAGAGTGTGTCGCTTTGCGCTGCATTTGGATGCAAACATTGCTAAAACTCTTGCTCTAGTTAGAGACTTTGGATATGATGAGGATTTATTGATGAAAAGCAGAAGAGATATTAAAGAGAAAGGGGAAAATCACTAGTCAAGTCAGACCATTGAGTTTCTCTTGGTTTCCCCTCTTCTTGGAGTTAGAAAGAGTGACATTCTGTGACGCCGCGTGTCTTGTCTTGAGACCAAGCTGTGATTTTAGTGCGGCTAAACAGCAAGAGACTCACATACACTCTTTTTGAAGCCAAACTGACCATTGGGTAGTTCAATTGGAACTTCTATATGCCTTAAAACTGCTGCAAATATTCAATATTTGCCACTTTGTCGTTTTTACTTGGGAAAATATCTATTTTTCGATTAGTTTCCTCAAAAATCGACTAATGACTTTCCCCTTGTCAAGGAGTTAGGAGAGTCTAGCGCTGCAAACAAGTCTAGAAACAGGGCATTTGTCACTGTCCATTGACTGGAAAATATATAGCAAATGTGAAGTTCAAAAACTAATTTACTTAAACATTTCGTCTGTTTGATTCCCGACATCACAATTCACAGGCCAGAATAGAAAACCTGCAGTGACCCTAAAGGCTTTGCCGCTGCACTTTTGCAACTCAACTCTAAATGCGGGCTTCAGCAATTGCTGGAGCCACGATTCCTCCACAGAAGAGCTTAATGGCTGATAGAATGTCCGCTTGGGAAAAGCTCGCACACACACAGACGGAGTGGGAAAGTATTAGACAATTTGAGTGAAGTGAAAAGCTTGTGTGCCGAAGTAAGTTTGCTAATCCACTTACGGGCCTCATGACTTGCATGTTGTGCTGGTGAATTTAAAATTATCCACTCCTGTGTTGAGTTGCGAGGGTGTCATTAGATCGGGCGACAAACAAGGCAAATGTGATAAATTGGCGGAGGCGAAGTTGCTGCTTGTGAGCAATTTTGACACTCCGCAAGAAAATTTGCCATGGTGGAGGATTAGTGAGTGACAAAATTGAGATAATCCCGAGGGCGTCACGGGCCTGAATCAATTGGGGGTGGCGCGCGCTCCCAATATTGGTGTCGAAAGTGCCGATGAAAGGGCGCACATTATTCGACGCCACTTTGAGACTCTCAATTCAATTTTATTATTTTTCAGATACGTGCGTATCTGTGTGACTCTTAGGGTGGGAAAGTGAGTAAAAATAAAATTTATTTGCACCATTTTTTATCAAAACATTTAATTTTTTATGTGCACTCTCTTTTGATGCTGCTCTCAGTGTTTTTTTTTTTGCATGAGCGCTCATCCCTTCGCCTTTTTTTTATAGTTTAATATTATTATTGTGTATATCTCGTGCGCCGTTGACTTTTCGTTCGGTGGGTGGCGAAAGGAAGGGGTGGAAAATTGGATGTGTGTGAGATGCGAAGGGTGAATTGTACATATTGGAGTGGATTGGCGAAATTCCCTTTTTGTTCTCTCACGCTCTCGCTGTTTCAACCCCCCGTCGAAAAAGAGCGAAAGTGTTGTGTCGATCGGGTCGATGATCGAAAGCGGGAAACCATCATCGTATCAATAAAGGAAAAATATCCGGCGGCGCTACGGAAATCGTTATTTCAGGGGCTGAAGGAAGGCATTGGGGGTTGAACAGGAAAAAGGCGAGAGTATCCGCGCCTCGGGCGTCGATGTTGAGAGTCTGTGATGAAGACGAGAAATTAAGGTGCAGATTGAAAAATATTTTCTCGCTCATCGCTCGAGTGCGTCATGAGTGGAAATCTCATTAAGACAGACGGGAAATGGCTGAGCCTAATGCATGTGGCTTTAGGATTAAATGCATAATATTGCCATGGGATAAATTATGCGGGTAAGTTTGTGTCTGAATGGAAATTCATGGGGGATAATTGTTAAATCCACTCTCTCCCTGGGATGCAAATTTGACCACTGGTCGCTCTGCAAATTATACCCACCTGGATGTGTCACCTCGCAGGGAAGGGTGATCGTCTCTCCGACCACGAATTTAAATGCTGCCGATTGTGATATAAACATTGGCTCCGCTTCAATTCCGCTCGCGTGGCTGATGGCTCCACCTGCAAAACACATGAGAGATACTCCTGTTTAGAGCACAATGCAGAGTCACAGAGGATATTCTATTAATTTGCGGACTTTCCGTTTGTCCCACGGACTGTTTAATGTAAGCTGCCGAGCGATTTCGCGAGAAAATTCAATTTGCGGCGCAAAATGCACAGTTGAAATTGGAATTTGCAATTCGCCAACACTGAGAATAGGGCTTAATAGCAGAGAAATATTGATATGCTTTCGCACAGCTGAAGGCCTGAAATGCCCGGAAAATTGCTTTAGTGAATAGGAAACTTAGATTTTCCAGCGCTAAAGTTCTGTTGTTTGCAACTGTTACTAAAAAATCCCAATTTCTTTTCTCAATTCGGAAAGTTTTAGGTAAATAAAATACATAGCAATTTTCCCCATATGACCTTCTAATGTAGCTTCTTAGACATCCCAGATTTTCCGATTTTTGATCACTTTTTCGAGTTTATATAGGAAAATCTTAGGTATTGCGAGGAGTATTGATGGATTTTTCATAACAATATGGTGATAATTGGCATGATGGAATGGAAAATATTTCCATTAATATTGTAACTATTTCAAAATTTATCTACATATCGACGGGTGCCTCGAAAACTATAAAAAGTCAAAATCGCCATTTTTCAGCAAAACGAGTTCAAAATTTTGCATTAAAACAGCTGCGAAATTTGCCAAATTTACTTCAAAATACTCAAAATGCCTTCAAATCGTTCGTTAAAGTGAAAATATTGCTCTGTATTTTTTTTGTAAATGTTTAATTTGTATTTATTGAAATTTTTGACTAAAATGTGGCAAAATTAATAGAAAATCTGAAAATATTACTTTTCAAAGTCGATTTTTAATGGTTTTTGAGTCGATTTTATACAAAAAATCAACTTTTCATACTTCAATTGAACTTTTTCTTAATGTTTTCAAGCGAAAAAATTTAAAAGATATGAGAAATATTCATTTAAAGTCCAAAAAAACATTTAAGAATAATTCTGAAAATCTACAAATATTTTCTAAAAAGACGTTTTTATGCATTTGACTGCAATTTTTGAGACATTTTCATACATTTTGTCTCATAAAATACAAATCTTAAAATTCTTGTACAGAAAGAACAAATAAAAGGCTTTTCAAAAATACCTTCATAAGACGAAAACTATGATAAATCGACTTTTCATAGTTAGTTGACCCGTCGATATATAGTAGAAGGAAATTACTTACAATAATTTCAATATTGTACTATGGAAATTGCGAATAAATTGTGGCAAAAATTTCAATCTGTTGCAAAAATTGAACTAAATTGATCTCGATTTGTCTAAATAGCAAATTTATTGATTTCAGTTTATAATTTTTCCTAAAAGTCTGACACATAAACCTATAAAAAATGTAGAAAAATACAAAAATTAAATTAAAATTACCGCTTAAAAATGGTAGGAAAATTATTGGAATTTTGGATTTTATTTCCGTATTTTCCGATAATCTTGTGCTCATCGACATACAGTTTTTCCCGTGTATATCCACGGATAATTGCTGGCTTTTCCCCTTCTTGCGAATGTTGCAACATTCTGACGTGAAATCCCGTGATATCGAATGCTGATGAGAATAATTTCCCCAAAAGGTGCGTGCAAATTACCCAAATTTGTGTGACACAAAGTGATGTGGACAATTAAAAGTGTCGTGTCTTGTCAGTGTCGGTTTTGGAATTAAATCAATTTAAATCCCCCAAAAGACGACGACTGAGGGATGAGTCAATTTCCTGCCCTTCAGCGTCCCGCCAATTTTGTCAGCAATAAATCCCGGCACGTCTTTGGGGGTGCGAAGAAGGGTGTGAGTCGTTGAGAAATGTATGGAGATGTTTTAAACAGTGTTTGTTCATTAAATTGGACTCTCATGAAATATCGCTCGAGAGCGTCGATTGCAATTGAAAAAGTGGAGTGGCTCAGCGAAAGAATTCCCCATTGGAGCGTGTGGTAAATTGGAATGTGATGGAGGAATATTGGAATTTTATCTCTTCCGCCAACTTTTCTCCAGCATTTTTTCCGCCTTTCGCTCTCTCTCTCTCTCTCTCTCTCTGAGTTTCGGGCACGGTTGAGTCTCTGTGGCCAACTAGCCGGAAAAGTCGGCCACTGGAGTGGGTTTCGGGCATGCCGGAAGTGCCACTCCCGGATGCTTAATCGTGCGATAATTATGGTGCTGAATTTCACACGACACTCGCCTGCATTTGCTAATCTAATCCACATCCAGCAGGTGTGCTTTTGGGCACAGGTGCCACTCCAACGCAATGAGCACAACTTTCCACGTGTGAGCTTTTTATCCCAAAGCTCAGTCTCAAGTAATTAATATCTCTGCATTCAGGGGGGAAAAAAAAGCACGCCAGCCTCTCTCTTCGCATGGGAAATGGAGATAAAATTGCCGAGAGAAGTGTCAACACACACACAAAAAAAGCGACTATTGCAATTGAAATGAAATTTCTCACACTTTTCCTCGATTTTTTCCCCCACATTTTCTGACTTTTCTTTGTCCCATCGGAGAATTTAGCGTCTCTCTGTTTAGGCTTTCTCTCGTGTTTCTTTTCCGCGAGTTCGCTCTATAAATTTTCCCCAGCAAAAAAACGTGCTAAAAGCGCGCACACATGTGGATTTCCTGGGCATTGTCAAGGTTTCCCGAGAGGGTATTAATTTCACTGGCTGAAGTACAGTACTTCACAGATTGTGTTGAGAGAAATTTTCAGCAATATTCCCTGGGATTTTCGTACTTAAACACCCCCTTTTTGCTTGCATCCATGGTGAATTTATGAAATAAAATCGTGTGTTGAAAGTGTTTCACACTCCTCAGACAATATTTCTTAATTTTATTTTGCTGTTTCTTCCCCAGCAATACCCGTCGAATTTGCATATTTTTCTCACCCACAGATATATATTTTTTTTCCATCTTCGCACCCACGTTTGGCGTCTTAACGAGCACGGCGGAAGGCAAGGAGTGCTTGTATACAAGGTGGTGATGTGGTTCTCAGGAAAATTGCCTCAATTGATCATTGCAGACGCCGCGCCGGAGGCTGGAAAATTGAACATTTTGCGCACTCCCGTGGCAAATGCCATTAAAATCCAGAGACTGGCGGGTTTCCCGTCGGGAGAGAGAAGAGCCTCCGAAGGATGTGGTAATGAAGATCCCTAAATATCTGTGAGGCACTCGGAGAGATGGGAAATTTGTGCGAAATGACTTAATCTGAAGTGCAATTAGGAGAGTCGATTGAGACCATTATTGCCTTTCAAATTGGCACAACAGCCAGTCTAATGTTTATTATAACTTAATAGGTGATTTACTTTCAATTATTTCCATCCCGTCTCACACTCATGTGCACCCTCATTGACTATTAAGCATGTCAACACCTTTCGGCACGTGAATACAATTCAGGGGGATTATTAACAATATGAACCTTGAGAATTGTGCCAACTGATAAACAGATGTATTCCCCAGTAATTAATGGTGACAATCACGCATTGTGCGCTTCAAAACCCCACACGGAAATCATCCCCCATCGCACGCCCTGGGAATTAATCATGGGTCCAAGAGAGAGACAGAGAGACATCTTCAACAATTGCAGAACCCAGAGAGAGGCGATAATAAGTCTCAATGGCACAATTATTATGCAAAATTATTCCGAGTCTGATTAATGAACCTTCAGCGAATTTTTCCTCAATTAGCCTACGCCTGGGTGGGGGTTTATTGAATAATCCATTATGCATCCCCAGCCACATTTCGCCACCACCCACATAATAATGACTGTGGGCGATGTGCGGAGGAAATTATGCAGATTATCAATTTCACCATGTTCTTCGTCATTACAGCAAAATGCTGCCAAGCCCGGAATCGCATGAATTACAGCATTGGAGAAAACCTGCACATCAGCCATCTATTGAATTTTACACGCTGCCGGGCAACACATCATGATGAACCAAGCGATCCGGCTTCAATCACACACACAGAGGTTGGAACATTCAATTTCGGAGCCGATAATCTGCAAAAGCTGCTGGAAACTGCTCGTGAGTGAATGTTATACATCATAATTAATATTTCAATTCACACACTTCATGAGAACTCTGCCATGTGTGCCGAGGAGTGATTATTGCAGATATTGAGCGCATTCTGATGACATACATAGTTTATATAGGTAAATCTTCGTCACGTCTCGCAAATTGATTTGAACTAATAAATCGTCAAAGACATTTAACAGTTGAATTGTCCCTGAATAACATCCATAGATAATTCCTAGCATAATTCAATCAATTCAACGCTCAATGGATTGCCAAAGGCATTTTTCGTGTCTCTTTCTCAGCCTTTAACAGCCACTATATTGCTGAAACTGGACATTTTCCTTTGAATTTCAATGCAAAAGTCACTCCGTGAGATCAGATCATTTGAAATAATTCGACTATTTAATTTTAATTTTTATTCCATACAATGCAGAAAAACAATTTCAAATATTTAATTGAGTAATTGATTTTCCTTCTGTTTGAAGCATATCGATGTGTCGCCCAGTTTCCACGTGAAGCTGAAGGTCTGAAATTTTGCACCAATCTTCCCTCATTAATAAGAAATTACCATGCCGAGTTTGAAGCCCTTAGGTTTAGTCCTTGATACATTTATGACACTAAATCCTAACCTATGCAGTAAAGAACCCTTTAAATTAAAAAAAAGTTACCAACATTTCAATTTTTGTCACTTAAATTTGTTTTGGGTGCTTAATGTGGTTTAAATAAATACAAGGTGTCTCCAGGATAATAGTCCTGTAAATTTATATATTTTATTTGGACTTTATAAATTATTGTTATAAATATTTTCTTAAATGAATATGACTTCACAGGATCGTACGGAGATTTTTCGGCTCCGCAACAAAGGACATTTGATCCAAGAGGTAATCAAAAGGACCTCCAATTCCAGAAAGAGAATTTAGAACGTCGTTTATCACGTGAAAAGGTACGATTTCGTCGGAAAAAAGTGT